CCCCCGCCCAGGCGCCGACAGCTCACGCATGCGCAGTAACCTCTCCTCAGCCCTGGCAGCTGACGCCGTCGCCGAAAGAGGAGTTGCCACCCCTCTCCCAGCCCCGCCCGCTCGGGAGCCGGCGCGGCGCCCCCTACCGGCCGGGAGGAGCAGGTACAGCGCAGGGGCTTCCCAAGGTTTTGGTGAGAATCACATGCTTCAGAAATTCAGAAGAGAAATTAACTCCTTGGGGTTTTTTTTCCTTTTTTTTTTTTTGAACAAGGAACCTAGTCAAGCCTTTTTTCCCCATGCTGCTTTGCAACATGACCAAAGGACAGCTCATGTTGGGGTCGGAATGGCTGCCGCCGGAGAGGGGGAGCTGCGCAGCCAGGCCCCTGGGGCCGTGCTGCCATGGCCCTTGGGCAGCAATAAATGTTTCCATACACACGAGCTCCCGCACGGCTCCTTGCAGCAGGAACGATCCCACATTTCATTAGCCACCCACATACTCCATATGCTCATTCGCTAAAATAAACACTGTGTCACAGGACATCTCTGCAGCCAGTGAGAGATGTTCCCTTCGGGCAGGAGGAGCTCGCGACGGTGGTGCGGGACACTCTTTGAGTTCCACCCCGTTTTCTTCTCCGTCTTCTCCATATGCAGCATAAGTTCAGACAGGGAGTCTTGGAGCCACAGCTTTGACAACTTATGCATTTCCCACCAGATGAACAAGTGGGACTTGATGAGTGATTGATGACAAGTGGGACTTGAGGTTCTTAAAGTCAGGCTACATTTCTAAAGGGAAGTTGCTATTGCCAGATGATCAATAAACAGAGGTGTCAAATAAGAGATGTATTAAAAAAAACCCCAAACATTTAACCAAATTCCTGTGATGCTATGGGGCGCGGCTCCATCTGGTGACTGTGTCACACTGATAAACAAAGGTTCTGTTTACCCCAAAACAAATATTCTAACTGCAAAGGTGGCAGATGCAGCCAGCCCTCGTGACAGGTGGAAATCAGACAAAATCCAGATGGTACCATATCCATGGGCTGCATTTATTACCCAGACAGGACACCAGCTGTCTGCTGCTCAGCACAACAGAAACCCAGGCAAAGGTTCTGATCCTGAAGGATATTTTTCTTCTTCTGCGTCCAAAATGGCTGAAATGCCATGGGGATCATGGAGGCAAACACACAAACACCAGCTCTTGGTTTTCTGTCTGGCTCTCCAGTTTGTGTTGGCATCAAGCCCTGGGACAACAGTTCCACGTGGCATTGACAGTTGTAAGAACTAATACTTTAACTGTATGAAGCACTGTATGACTACAGCCCTGCTAAGTTTGTATCCACTGCAAGAAGACAGTGTGTCTAAAGCATCCATGGGCTGTAGTAAGGTTTGGGGCTGGTTCTTTCCTGGGCCTTTCCCGGGCTCTTCCTCAGCACCAGTTGCCTCCTCACAAAAACAAGACTTCAGAGCGTGGCTGCCCAGTAACCCCTGTTACACTGCGGTACATTGCAGGGGAACTGCAGACTTGATGTCACCTGCTG